CCCCGGGCAGTGTCTGTCTGTCTGTCCCCAGCAGTGTCTGTCTGTCCCCAGCAGTGTCTGTCTGTCTGTCTGTCCCCAGCAGTGTCTGTCTGTCCCCAGCAGTGTCTGTCTGTCCCCAGCAGTGTCCCCCAGCTCTCTCTCCGGTGAATTCGATTCCCGGGGCTCGTTCCGGGCAGAGCTCGCCCGATCCCGGCTCCAGGTGCGGGGCAGCCCCGCTCTCACCTGCGGCTGTTCCGCGCTCTCCTCTCCGCCCGAGCTCCGTCCTGTGGCTCCCGTGTGGCTCCCGTGTGGCTCCCGTGTCCCTCCCGTCCCTCCAGTCCCTCCCGTCCCTCGCTGTCGCCGCCCTCGCCTGTCACAGGGCTGTTATCCTGCCACACATCCCGGGGATTGCGATTTTACGGGCACCGGGCACCTGCCTCCCATTCCTTGTTATTCCCGTCCGTTCCAGCAATGGTGCTGAGCAGATCTGAGATGAGCGCAATTCTCCAGCGCTTCTCCAGGCAGTGCGGTGATGCTCTGTGTGTTTCGGGTTGTGTTTCCTCTGCACAGCAGCTCCTTACAAACTTCACACGACTGAAAGGCTGAAATGTTCGAAAGGAAACTGGAGTTCAGCTGCTTTAAATCCCATCCCACAGAAAAGTAGGGTCCCTAACAGAACAGGGAAATTGAACTGCGGATAAAAGTGAGCAGCCAAGCATGGTTAAAGATAAGGCTTCTTCACATACACTCCTTTTTTAAAATAATTCCTTGAAAAGTCAGATTTCTAAGGGATGGACAGAGCCCTTCAGGGCAGCAGCTCACAATGTTAAAGTGAATTTATCTCACAGAGTTAATGTGAATTTATCTCACAGAGTTAATGTGAATTTATCTCACAATGTTAATGTGAATTTATCTCACAGTGTTAATGTGAATTTATCTAACAGAGTTAATGTGAATTTATCACACAGAGTTAATGTGAATTTATCTCACAGTGTTAAAGTGAATTTATCTCACAGTTAATGTGAATTTATCTCAGAGTTAATGTGAATTTATCTCAGTGTTAATGTGAATTTATCTGAGTTAATGTGAATTTATCTCAGTGTTAATGTGAATTTGTAGCACACCCTGAGCAGTCTGAGCCTGCACTCCTGTTACACAGCCAAGAGCAGCTGCTGTTACCTGCAGTCCTTTGTAGCCCTTTGCAAAAGAACCAGCTTTAACAGGGAATTAGGAGCAAAAAGGTGGAAATGGAGATCAGACACCTCAGCAGACTTGTGCTGGTAAAGGCTTCCTCTGCTGTGAGAATTTATCCAGAGTCACCTGGAGTGATGGATGGAGATAAAGAAGAGAAGAACAAGAGAGGCTGGAAGCAGAAGAGCCCAGGCAAGGAATGCAGATGTTGCAGACAGAGTTTCCTCAGCAGCCAAGGTCACCCAAAGGGTGAAATTGCAGACACTTCAGGTGTTCCCTTTTCCCTTTTCCCACCTCAGGACAGTCCCATGCTGGGGAAACACCAGTGCCAGTCATTTCAGAGGCCAACACTTCCGGGCAGACATAAACACATCCATGCTTCTAAAAAGCAGATCAGGATCAAGTTCAGCTTTCTCTGCCTCGTCCTTTCCAAGAAGTCAGTGTCCCTGTGGGAGAGGCTGTACCTGGAGCTCCTCCTGCCTGGAATGTGGGCAAACCCCAGCACAAAACCTGCCTGGAACCACACCAGCCTCACGCCAGAGGCAAGAACCTACAGCAAACATCATTTCCAAAGGTTTTGCTTCCATCCCGTGAAAGCAGCGTCCCCACATCAGGCAGTGCTGTGCCCTGAATAAAAGCGTCCCTCGGGTGCAGCACTCCTTCAGGAGCACTCACTGTGTACAGGAACAGCAGGGGCAGGAAGATAAACCAGCAGCAAAACAGCAGGTTTGCCTGTAATGTACCTTCCAAACGGGAATATAATTCCCTAAGTTTTACTTTAGATTACCGAGATTTTTGAGTTCAGATTCTCGGTCCCTTGGCACCACAGGAGCCAGCTGAAATCTTCTCAGGGTTTCCTGCCTTGCCCCTCCATAGCTGAGCATCCTTCCTGTGGAGAGAGCTGGGGCACAACCTGCTGAGCTTGTACTGTAACAGATTTAAGGCAGAAAGTGCAGGTGACACATCCCAAAGGATCACATTTATACATCTTTATGCATCTTTAGTCAGCAAAACACAGAAGGTCCCATTTAATGTGGTAGAAGAGAAAAAACATCTGCTTCAAAAAAACAGAGAAGTACTGACAGCTCAGGAGATGCTGAAATCGTTCTGGTAACTTGAAAATATGTCCCAGTTATGAGACACCCCAAAGGGCAGCCCTAATGTGTTTTACTCAGTAATCCTCTGACATGGCCCTTCCCAATAAAACAGTGTGAGGATTTGTAAGCCTGGGCATTCCCTTGCCTCTAAAAGCCTCATAAAAATGATTTCCTATCAGACATGTGAGAGACTCCACTGAAAACCCACCAAACATTGCATCTGAGCTGACCTGAGCATTCCAAATCTAATTTCATCCCAAATCAGCAAGTGGTTATTGCTTGTCTCAGAATGGCATTTGTCAGGAATGAAAATTCTTTGCCAAAATAAACCATTCAGTGTTATTTATGACAGAGACAGATTCTGTTACTCTCCCATGGAGTATTACCCTCAAACACTGCTGGCTCAGGCAGCCAAGGCCATCCTCTTTTAATGTTTGAATGCAGCCATTAAGTTGTCTTTTAGGAATTGTACTGAGGGCACAAACCCCCCTCACTTCCCCATCAAATGAGGACAAAACCACAGAAATAACCAGCTAGTGCATAAAGTGTGGGAGCTGTGAGTGTTGGCTGTGACAGAATGAACACAAATCCCCTCTGTGCCCTTCTCAAGCTTTGTGCTCAATGCAGGGTCCCAGAGGAGTGGCTGTGGACACCAGAGGCAGCTGTACACATTGTCACCATTGTCACACCCCAGACAGACCCCTCAGCACCCTGTGGGGACAGGGGTGTCCCACACTCACACACCACAGCACTGAGCTCCACACCAGCCCAGAGCACCTCTCTGAGGGGACAAAGATCTGGTTTTGATGACATTTGCCACACAAGAGCAGCCAGCCCGTGTGACACATCGCAGTGTGTCACACCTGAGCTTGTACAGGTGTCACCTTTAAGGGCCACACTGCTGCAGGGAGCACTGCAAGTTTGGCTGTGGAGGGGCTGATCCTGTGAAGCAGCAGCTGAGTGACCTGTCCATAGGCAGGAGCTCAACACACACCTGGACATGCAGAGAAAGATCTGAAACACAGAAACTCTGCTTGGAGAAGTTCAGGGGATCCATCCCCTCCATTATCCAAAGCCAAACTCCCACCCCAGCTGTCCCACAGCCTCGGACCAAAGGAGCACCTGTGAGGCAGAGATGTTACTGCAGCACCCAAAAGTACTGCGAGCCTTCCACAGGGTTCAGCTCCAAACAGGGTCCCCTCAGCTCCTCTGTCATCTGTTTTCCTTTCCCCAGCCCTCAGTCATGCTCCCTCCAGATCAATTATCACACCTCCTGAAGAGAGCAGGGGCACAGGGGAACGCTCCAAGAATTCAGTCCCTTCAGGATGAACCAGTGAGCAACAGGGATAACCAGACTGGGAGAACCAAACTGGGTTTCTGATTCCTCTCTTCCAGGCTCCTGCAGGTGGAATTAGTCCATGCCAAAGGAGATGTCCTAAGCTCACCTGAGCCGGTCCCAGAGCTCGAGAGGAGCCTGCCTTTGTGAGCCCTGAGTGCTCTTGGGGTTCCCTGGTGGAAGGGGCAGCCCCAGCAGAGGAACCTTACTGACCAGGAAAACCCAAGCCAGCCCCTGAAGGGGGTGAGTAGAGAGGGGATGGTGACAATGACAACATCATCAGCTGTTCCCATCAGCAGTCCTGTGGTCATCAAAATTCACCGAAGAATTCAGGTCCAAGGTCGACCTGGGAAGGCAAAAACCAATTCAGGAAAACATGAGAACTGGTGACTCAGGCCTGGGTTTACACAGAGCCCCTTGGTCATGGGCAGAGGTGTAGGAAGGGATGTCCAAGTCAGGTTGCTCAGGGCAATTAGGCCCTAATTAGTGCCCTCACAGCCCTATCCCCAGATTCCAGGAGAACATTTCTGTCACACATCAGCTCACCCAAGTCTTGCACAACTGGGGCTCTCAGCACCACACTCCAATCTCACCTCCCTCCCCTCTCACTCTGCTTTCCATGAACCCTCCTGCCCCTGGGGTGGCTCTGCTGCTGCTTTCCAGGCCTGGGTGTTCTGTCTCTCCCCTGGGCCAGTCTGTGCCCAGTCTGTGCCCTGGGGAACACCAGCGTGCCCTCCCTGGCCATGGCTGCAGGGGAAGAGCCTGGGAAGGGGCAGGGAGCAGGCAGGGAAGGCACCCAGCAATGGACAGACAAGAGTCAAGCAAGCAGGGATTTACCTCCCTCTTCTCTCACTCCCCAGCACGTGACAGAAAAAACCGTAGCACTTCATGAATGTGCCATTCCCTGCTTTAGATCTGAAGGGGAAAGTCCTTTGTTGTTGTGAGTTTCTGTAGTTCTGAGACAACTGAGGTGTTGCTCCCTCCCATGCTCTCTCAGTCTCTAGAAAGAATTTATGAGATTCCCCCTGTCTTAACTCTCAAAACCATTGCAAGACTTTTCCCAAGGAATTTCATTTGATTCCTGTGCGTTGCAGTGAATTGATCAATGCTCTCCAGCACAGAAGTCCTCATCCAGGTTAATCCCTGCAGGTGCCCTGCTTTCACACTAATGCTGACTTTCTGAAATGTCACAGGCAGCAACCCTTCTGTTTAGGATCAAAATCGCAGCAAGGAAGATCTCAGAAGTTTCTGCCAAATGAGTTCCTTGCTAGGGCTGTGCTGTGAAGCTGTTCCAGCTGCAAACCCAGCCACAGGAGTCTCCTTTGGCCATTTATCTCTCTGCCCCAGAGATGAGCCAAGCCCAGAGCTGGAGGTGTCCAGAAGATCGTGGTCAGATGGCCATGTGGCCAGGCCCAGGCAGTGGGAAAAAATGAAGCCACTTCAAGGCTCCTGAAGATGCAAAACTTCATTTCTCAAGTCAGCTCATTTTGAAGCATCCAGACCTAAGAGGTACCAAGTGCCTGGAGCCTTCCCTGACATCACTGGGATCATCTGGATGTCCATCTCTTGGTGCCTGCAGGCTGGCAAAACCACTGGGATACAGCCAGGGGTGCTAAGGGGTACCTGTGTTTGATCCTGAGTGAATGAAAACATTCTGTGTTAAAATAAATCACC